CGATTTTGTAAAGGCTTTGGGCCTTAAGGAGGCAAACTTTAGTCCTTGTGGAAGGAGATAATGATGGTTAAGAATTTTAACCCTTGAATTGTGTTTTACGCCGAAGGGTAGAAAGGGAAAAGTTATAGGCTGGGTTATTGTATGAAATATAGATTTTTGTTTGAGAAGTTTTTAGTCCAAAATATCTAGATAATATTGTGGGGCTCTTCAATACCTTTCTGTGGATATAAAGATCGTCGAAAACGGAGTTGGAACGAAGAAGTTAGGGTTTGGGGTTTAGCCTAGTACATTGGGCGTACAGGATGTATGTTGGGAGTACTAGGCAAGAATGATCACGAAGATTCAACCTGGTATGCTAGGCTTACCAGGAGTATGATGTGTGTAAACGATCAGAAATCGGGGTTTTGAGCCCTATTTAAGCTCCCTAACTTCCCCAAAACCCTTTCCATTCTCAGCCTCCAACTCTCTAACATCCTCCCTTGAAACCATAACCCTAGTTTGAGCCTTGTGAGCAAAAGGAGGTGTTTTTAAGTTTTTTGGAGTGTTCTTGGTGCATCTGGAAGAAAAAGGAGCTCATTAGAGAAGTGTTGGTTGCATTGGAGCTTGTAGATCCAGACCTTGTTCACCTCAATCTTTATTCTGGAGGTATAAAACTTGAATTGTGATGATGCATTTGTTAGATCTAGCTTTTTTTGGGTGCTATGAGCTTTTGGTCACTTTAGTGCATAAATTTTAGATCTTGAAAGTTTGTGACCTTGTTATGGATAAAGATAGAAACTTTATCCATCTAAACATTATATTGATTCATATTTGAAGGTTGGAGTATTAGACTAAATATATTTAGTTGATAGAGATGCTCTTTGGTCCGTTTGAGACTTAAAGACTAGATCTTGGTCTGATGGATTTTGAGCATAACAAACAATCCTATGTGTGCATGCAACCCTAAATAATTTTGATCTTCGTTTTCTCTAATTGAACATACAACTTGTAAAATAAAATATAAAACCCTATCATGCTACTATGATTTCGAATTCATAACTTAGGGTTAGAATTATCATACCTTGATCACTATATAGTAATAGCAATCGAATTATCAAAATATAAAACCCTATCATGCTACTATGATCGTAAGTCGTAACATGTAAGGCTAAGTCTGTAACCATTTTTTCCATTTCACCCGCCAACCCGCCAACCCGCGACACGCCAACCCGAACACGACACGATTGCCAGGCCTACCATTGTTGCAATCGTCAATGTCCATGGAAATTTAGGAGACAAATCCTTGAAACACTTTTTCTTGACTTGTGCTCTTAAGCATTTCTACTTCAGCAACAATCAACATATGTGTCAGAGCAATTAGGGTCACGCCGTGGTCCCTCAGTAGTCTTTAATGAACTGACTATATGACTCGAGAAGAGAAAGTAGAACCAAGTCAATGGCTAGCTCCCTTAGGAAAACGACATCCAAAATATCAAATTTGTCAATGTATGATTTCATTTTCAAAACAAGCGTACACACAGACTTTCCATCTTGATGTTTACATGCCAACAAGGCTTGATTAACTTCGTATTTTCAGCTTGAAGGAAACATGACTTAGGGAGACTCACTGGAGGAGGAGGAAGAGTTGAAGAAGTATAACCTCCATTTCAACCATTTCTAGAAGAAGGTAATACTCTTTCACCTTGACCAGAATGTGGAAAATCATCTTCAGAAGGAAGATGAAAACCACTTCCCAAAGAACGGGGAAGACCATTGTTGTCTGAACTTGACATCTATAATAGGAGAATGGAGAATTCAAGTTTGTTGATTTTAATCCTTAATTATTAACCCCTAAATTTAAATTAAGGCTAGGATCCATATTTTCCATTCGAACTTTGAAGATAGATGTTGTAATCAATTTCGAATCTATTTTAGGTAGGTAAAGCATTTACCAATTTCAATCTCATGAAAATCCTAGATAATTTGAGATTCATTGAACTATTCAATGGCATGTTTAATCTCAATTATGATCTCACTTTTGTGACTGGGATGCCGAGGATCACAAATCGAGATGTGACCATGCAAATTAGCTTGTCACTCTCGATGTCATTTATCATCTTGTTTTAATGTGTCGTTCAACCACACACGCTCCATTAATCAACGATAATTTTTGAGACACCCATTACCACCCTTTATTAGTCCCTCATTAGTGTGTCGGTTAACTACACATGCTCCACTAACGACTCATAAAGTGTAATGTGCAATTTCATGGATTAACATACAAATTCACATTTTCCTAAAGTAACTAAGAGTGGGATTTAAAATAGTTTAGTTACTTTATATCATTATACTTTTAATGAGATTAATTTGTCCTATCAAACCCGTTCGGGTAACGACCCTCCACTATACAAGAGAGCGGTGGGTAAGAATGGATACCTAATGGCGGTCATTTTATAGGCCGCTTCCTTAAATTCCCCTTATAGTATGGCTTCGTGAATGAGGCGTACCGGCGGTTCGACTGACTTTTCTTATATATATATATATATATATATATATATATATATATATATATATATATATATATATATATATATATATATATATACATATATATATATATATATATATATATATATATATATATATATATATATATATATATAGTAGTGGGGTACCCGCGCGATGTGGCGACGACTATTGTTCCTTTCGACAAAAAGTTTCTAGGCGCCGATTAGTTGTTGTTAGGTGAAAAGTTATCTCGGTGAGGTGGTGCGACTGTAATCATATATGATAATAAATGAAAACCATCATGTTTCCAATCTTCCTCCAATATGAGAGTTGTTTCTTTTGTTGTTTATAAATTTTAAAAGGAATCAAAATATGTTTTCTTTTTTACCAATTCATACAACAAATGCTTATAATCATTTAATGTAAAAGACTTGTTATTTTTATTTTTTTTCACAAGAATTATGTAAAAAAGATTTCATCACATTCATAATTAAATGAATAGTTAATATTGAGGAACAGTTTTATTTCATTGAATTTTTTCAATTAGTTATATATAGAAAATAAATATTTTTAAGAACACAAATAAATTGAAAAATATCATTACCATTTTAATATATATCGATAAGGTTTATACAAAATTTGATGTGTAAATTCCTCTCCCCTGAAATTCCTTTGTAGGTTTCACTAAGACCTTTGTATTTTCACGGGATATCCCTCTGGAAAGCGCCACATAAAGTTGCGCATGCGAGAATACTGACTCTGGTAGATAAACACCAACGTTTGGAATTGTTTGACCTTGAGCTTTATTGATTGTCATAGCAAAGCTAAGCCGAATTGGAAACTGTTTTCTTTTCAATTTGAATGGAAACATGTCATCATCAGATGGACAAAGAGGGATTCTTGGTAAAAAAACTCATTTTCCGGCATGAAGGCCAACCGCTATTTCCGCATCGATCACGTTCATCTGAAAACCTCTGCATATCAATCTTGTGCCATTACATAAACCATTCGAAGGATCAATATTCCTTAATAGTATTATAGGGCATCCAATTTTGAGTCGAAGGTAATGAGGAGGTAAACCACTGATATTTATAGAGTTTAATATTCCATCAGATAGAAATTGTTCTTATCATCTTCTGCCTCATCAAAACTATAGTAAATCCTCTCCTCTCACAAAACCTATCAATCAGTTGATCATTAATTTCATCAACACTTTCATTTTTTGTTGATAGTATCGCCCTGGAAATAATATACTCTGAAGAGCCTCCATTGATGTGCAAAGAAGGAAAGATTGAATTAATCAACTCATTTTTTGATTTGTCTTGGTCGGTGTAAGGAATGCACATATCATCAGGTATTCGGACAAAACTTTCATCGATGGTTTCTTCATCTCCGTTGCCAACTCGTATTAAAAAATCTAAAAACCATGGATCGGCTAGTGCTCTCATATTTATAGTTAAACGTATTTTTTTAATCAAAGACCAAAGAGGTGACATCCTCAAGCTGGCGTCTACAATCTGTGCTCTAGTACCACGTATGATTACTGGTAACACCTGCCTAAAATCACCTCCCAAGATCATTATCTTTCCACCAAAACGGAGGCTCACATTTGTAATGTCTTGCATCGTTCGATCCACCGCCTCTACTGCTTGCCTATTCGCCATTGATGCTTCATCCCATATGATTATTTTGGCCAAACGAAGTAGTTGAGCAACCCCACTTTGCTGATTGATTTTGCACATTGAGTTATTATCAAGATTTATCGGAATCTTAAACCGCGAGTGAGATGTTCTCCCCCCGGGCATATTATTAGCTGCAACACCAGATGAAGCTGTCGCAAGTGCAATATGACCATGGGAACGAACCTCGGCAAGTAAGGCTTTGTACAAAAATGTTTTTCCAGTTCCACCAGGACTATCTATAAAAAAAACACCCGGACGATTCTGATTAACGTGGGTCATGATCTCATCATATGCATTTTTTTGGTCGGTATTGAGAGAATCTTTTGCACGAAGGTGTTCATCATCCACAACGATGGAGTACTCCTCTTGGACCTCGCGATAATAAATTGATGTTTGTATTTACCATAGGAAGATCAAACTCATTGAGATGCTTACCCATAGATTGCAAAATTATAGAGATATCCATAAGAACCATGGTTTGAACTCTCTTAACACTTTCACATTGTCGCATATAATCTTCAGAAAGTGAATTATAGTGGTCATCCCATAACTTGCGAACATCTCCGGGTTCGCAATAAATGAGTATAGTTGCAAATAACCTTCTAAGAGCACCTGGAAATTGATATAATGAGGCCTCAGTAAGACATTGAGATAGGTTATCATCGGTCTCTATTAACCCTCTCTCAAGAGCAGCTTTACAAAATGTTGTATGTAACACGTTATTCACCGTGTAAAGATCTTCAAAGCATGTTGGCCCTCTAACATGTGATAGGAAGACCCGTAGGTAGTATCTCTCTCCTTCGGCAGGGTTAGCAGAAACCAATCGGCCTCTCATTGCTCTTTTTTCCTTTGGTTCCAACAACGTTTGGTTGCATTCCATGTAAAGTATCTTGGGAATTCTTTATATAGATATTGCCTCGCAATCTCATCCATTTTATTCATGTCAAAAAATACGGTCAACATTAAACTCTTATCTTTCTCCCTGTCCACAATATCAATCATTGAATCATTATCTGAGAATCTAACCAATTGTTGGTTCGGGAGATGAAGATGCAAAGACATGACGAAAGGGTGGATTTGAGAAAGCGCAAAGTTAAAAATCCTCCATATTTCCTCAGGGGGTGAGACGTAACGTGCATCTTGATATCTTTTGATCTCATTGATGATGGGTTCCGCTCCATCTTGATCAATGTGGACAACTTGTTTGTCATGTCCCTTGTAAACATATTTAAAAGCATATTTCACAGATTTTATGCTCGAGCAAACCTCGACATTCATGTGGCAATTAAACATCATTAACAACTTCGGGTTATATGGTACCACCCATCTGTTATCAAGTGTATTTCCTCGTACGTTGACCTCTATCCCATTGTTTCTCCTCCTATATAATGGATATGAGTCTTCTCCTTGTGTCATCGCTTCATTAAATTGTCTAGGATATCTCCACCGACATTGTTTTGGCTCTCCTTGCATACATGGACTGGTTTCTCGTAAATGACCACAAGGACCGTGCATCATATGCTTCACAACAATTTCGTGCATTTTGGGATACTTTTTCGGATCGGGAAATTCAGCACACACCATTTTGTCATAATGGTCAACATTTGTCATCTTGTGTTCTGGTCTCATTATCAAGAGGAAATGTGCATGTGGCAAACAACGCTTTTGAAACTCCACCACATAAACATATGCTCGAACCACACCCAAGATATGGTGCTTTAGAAGTTGGTCCTTTAGATCCTCTAATTTTGCACGAAACACTCTTGATACAAGGTCTGGTCGATCTTGTGCACTTTGCCCGGGTTTCAAATCATCAACAATTTCTGGCCAGTTTGGATTGCATGTTACTGTAAGGAATATATCAGGCTTTCCGTCATCTTGAACTAACGTCATTGCATCTAGGAACCTTCGTCGCATGTCACGTGGTCCACCTATGAAATATGCAGGTAAGACTATCCGTTGACCGACTCTACTTGGTTCAACTTCACCGGCATTGACACAGTCAACAATTCCTTGGTAAAGGTCAGATCTTATCTTCTTTTGGTTTAGCTTACAAAAAAGCAAGCGTGAAGTCTCGATCTTTATGTAGATATCTACCACAAATTGTTGTAGCAATCTTCTTCCCAATAGAATTAATTTTTTAGATGAACGAAACTGGAATTTGTAACAGTAGTACTCACGCATTGTTACGGTATTCCTACCCTTCTTTGACTTAGCCCCTGCATAAGGGTAATGTTAGAAACATGTAAATTTTGTATTTATGTATATTTTTACCGAAATCATTTATTTTCATATTTCAAAAATGTATGTACCTTCTAAATCATCCACAATATTTTCTTCATTACCCATAACTTCATTGATGGACACCCCATCCGTTGCTATTTTTGCATGCCAACCAGACTCACCATTAGGAAAGAACAATGGATAAGACAAAGGATCATAACAACCTTCGTAAGGTTGGATTTGTGTACTATAGTCAGATCTCCCATATACAACAATGCTTCTTTTATATGTTGTTATGTTGTCATTACCTTCTACCCAAATACCAGCAACCTATATAATTTGTGATTTTAGTATGGTGAATATATAATACGATAACTGATATGATGACTTCAAATTAAGAGAAATAATTATTATATCCAAACCTCAGATGTGGTCGGCCGATTGTATACCCTTTGGTCAAGTTCTACTGATGCGTTCAAAGTGACTCTATAGTTATCGACAGGTCCTAGCTCACGAAGGCTTCGAAATGTTGTAGCATACGGGTTTGTTAAAAGAACGCCCACCAACACTTGAATGATCTTTCGATCAATATTTGGCCATTGAAGTCTATGTGTAAAGTCGGTTTCGGAATCATAGAAATATAACTGTAAGTACCTAGGTAATCCATCCCTCGGTACTAACTGATCAATTATGTGATATATTGCTCCGTTCGCCCGAAATGTATATACTCTGGATTTAATATTGCTCAAATCATCATCCAACTCTACTCCCATGGATGTGAAAGAAAAGTGTGTATTGTAAGTACGTATATTATCTCTAAATATTTTGCTTGACTCCTCTTTTGATGTAAAAAGACGATATAACTCATCAGGAATTTGGGAAGATGCCAACTTTGTTTTCCCACTCATGCAACAAAAAGTAGCAAATTCATGTTTGAACCGTTTGGCTCCACAATGAACACATATATTACTTCACTCCAAAATAGAATGTACTTCAGGGATACCATCGAAAATAGAATGGTATGGATCCTCTAGAAGAATGTCATCTGGAATTACTTGATTGACATTGACCTCGCTACAACCTCCAACTTCTATAATATATGAAAAAACAACTATTTTAAATGAAAGATAAAAAAGATGTAATTGTTCATTTTAAATAATGATGGTTTATACTAAAATTTGTTGTAGAATTAAATTAGGACTAACCATCTAATGTTTTGTGTGTTAACAACCTTTTGCTTTTTGTTTTGCGTAAATCGTGTTTTCCAATATTCTTTGTTGTATCATTTTCTTCTTTTTGCAATAATATTAATAATACAATCCTTTTTCTTATAAGTTTTTTAGTTCAAATTAAGAAAAAACAATATATGATTATCATTAATATATTATGCATACCTTTTTCGATATCTAAAGAAATTTGCGTCAAATCGCCATTTTCATTTTCACTATCTTGGGTCCCCATTTCACACTATAAGTTTATAAAACATAAATAAAAAGCATATTATATCTACCAACTCAATGCATAAATTTGTTCAATACTTGAATAATATAGATCAAAGATAATAAATTGCAACATAATAGATATATTAAGGTTACAACAACAAAATACCAATAGCTAATATTCTTACATAAACAAACCACCAATAAATGTTCTTAAGTTGTTTATTTTTAAAATTGAAATACATAATTATATCATCCATAAGTCGCCTTAATGGCATTTGCTTCTGCCATAACCGGCTCAAATGCAACCCTCGAAATTGATGTAGAATCCAAAAAGTTCACTGAAATTAATTTTTATACATTAATACTTCATATGGATAATAAAAATAATTAATTTGTTAAATGATTTGAACTGAAAAGTTTATACTTACTCCCCCCTCGGCTTCGATATTTAACACGAGATACATATAATGATCCATTTCTCTTGAATTGATTGTGCGAGTTTAAAAGGTAAGGCTTCAGGACCATCATTCAAAATCAGCTGAATTACATAACCACTATAATAATTTGAAATATTAATTTTAATAGTACTTATAATTAAACTCTTAATAATAATAATGATAATAATAATATAAAAACTTACGATTGATCTTGAAGAAGTAAATCAATCGCACAGTCATGGTGTAAAAGACGTCCGTCAACAACTTTGCCAACAACATCTAAACCACCATTTAAGTAAAAAAAATTTAGTTATTTTTAAAAAAATGAGTTAAATATTATATTGTAATAACTATTTAAGAATTACCGATCAAATTTCGTTGACGTGAATTTCTCACCAGATATTCAATAGACTCAACCAATGGATAAGTCGGAAAATGATTTTCAATGACCGGCTCAAGTAGAGTAAATCGTGTAGCTTGGTTGACAATTATGACATATTGATCATCAACAAAGTTGTATCATTCATACTTGGGGAAGTCATCGAGAGTGGAATTGAGTTTAAAATGATTTATAGAATATAAGCGACCTTCCATACCTCTTTCTAGGTATCTTCCTATTAAAGAGCTAGGCACAACCACCACCATTTTTTCTCTCTAGTTAATAAAAAAATTGTTAAAAAATAGTAATAGAAAACTCTTTATATGGTGAAATTAAGCATTATATATATATATATATATATATATATATATATATATATATATATATATATATATATATATAATATATATATATATATATTTGGAACTTACATTTTGGTCAACTACAAGCATAATTAGTCTGTTTTCCCTTGTATCCACCCAAACAAAATCAATCCGAATGCAAGCGAAATTATACCATGCATATGGACTATTGAGTGACCGAAAAGAGTTAACATTGAAATACATATCCATTTTCTACAAAATTTAAAATAAAATGTAAAAGTTAAATAATTGATAACAATATTATTAATTTAAATATTAAAAGATTCATAATGTTCATAACAATAAATACTGTATTTATAATTATTAAAATAAACAATAGAAAATACAAATATAAAATATTTCAGACTTTCATTTACAATATTAATTTAAACTAGAAAGGTTACCCCCGCTACGCGGGGGCCAGAAGCTTTCAATGTTGTTTCCGAATTGATAAATATGACAGACATAGAAAGTGCAAGGATGAAAAGTCCGGGCTTTGCCCCGGACAAAAAATGTAAAAGTTTTGACTGCAAGGACCAGAAGTGTGAAAATGGCTAAAGAATTAAAGGGGTAGGAATTAGCAACTTTTTAGAAAAGGGATCAAAGTTGTCAAACCGTTAAAGTTTTGTGGCCAAACTTTAAATATTAAAAGGTTCCAAAAAAGTGTAAAAATATTGATTGTAAGGACCAAAAGTGTCAAAATGGGTAAAGAATAATGAACAAAGTTGCCAAAAAAAATCTAAATTTAGTATTCTTAACTTCCAACAATAATACAGGGACCAATTCTGCCAAAAAAATGGAAGTTGAATGGAACACAAATAAAAAGACATGAATAAATTAATTAAAGAAGTACAGGGACCAGATATGTAAATCAAGGGACCAAACCTGGACAAAGTATCCCAACTTTACTATTCCTTTCTTCCACAACTTTAATATATATATATATATATATATATATATATATATATATATATATATATATATATATATATAATATTAAAAAGGTTCATAATGTTCATAACAATAAATATTGTATTTATAATTATTAAAATAAACAATAGAAAATACAGATATATAATATTTTAGACTTTCATTTACAATGTTAAAAGTTTTGACAAACCTAATTTGATATCATAAATGCTACAAAATTTTATTCTTCATTATATTTTAATAACAACATATTAAACTAAAACCAATAAAAAATAATAACTATTCTCATAATATATTTCTATAAATATTATACTATTAATATATCTATTTCTTACATTTGGTCTTGTATTAATTTACATCCACCTTTACATCCATAGCTTTAAACGGTTTATACTTATATTTTAAATGATTTACATTTGTTATAATGAATAAATATAAAAGAAATTATATAGAGTATAACATATAGCAAAAAAAGATAATGATATGTAAACAAAATAAAACATGTAAATAAAAGAAACTACATAGTATTATCAAGTTTTACATGTAGGAAAAACTAATACTATATTAAAATATAATAGAGTAAAACATGTAGCAAAAAAAGATAATGATATTTAAACAAGATGAATAATGTAAATAGAAAGACTTCCAATTTACCTCTATTTTGGTCACAAGTCAAAAGTAAGCACGGGCCTCTATCATAGACATAATTAAAACAAAAACAAGTTGTTAAAAACCAAATCAAATCTAAACAAAATTGTAAGTGTTACTCTAAAGTATATACTAAAAAATTGTTGCTAGGTAAATGAAAAAAAAATCAATACACATCACTTTATATTAAAAATAGAAATTAATCAAATTTAAACAAAATTGTAAATGTTACTCTAAAGCATACACTAAAAATTTGTTGCTAGGTAAATGAAAAAAAAAATCAAAACACATCACTCATTATTAAAAATCTGTTTTATTTTTACATGCGTTTACCTAATATTCTACTGTTTTTGACTGTCAAATAAACAGTATTTTAGACAGTCTGAAAAATACTATTTATGACCACCTATTTACGTACTAATTTACTGTTTTTGACATGGGTTTTACCTACTGCATTGCTGTTTTCATAGTCAACAATACTATTACTGGCAACATTTGTACCTAATAAAATATTTTGCAATCAGAAAAATACTTTTTTGAAATGCAATCAATTTGTGTTTAAAAAAAACGAAATACCTTTATTTGTTTTATTTTATTCGTTATTATAAATTCCTACTTTCACATAAACACAGAATATAAAAAATGTACCTTAACATTTAAGATATACATTAATTTTTTTATTCTATTCTTTAATAAAGCATCATACTTTCACATTAACACATTCAAAAACATATAGATAAAGTTAGAATGTTATGACAATAAAAAGTGAGAAAATATGATGTTATTATACAAAACTTGTATGATCAATGTTTACAATGCAAGAAATAGCATCATAATTTCAATTTTTGGTTATATTATAATGGAATCAATTAAAATAAGATGATATTTCTTATTCCTTACAAGGAAGGGCAAGAAATATCATTGTACTTCAATGCCGACATAATCATGAATAGCAACTTATTTTCGTAAGAAAGAAAAGCATAAAAAAGTAGGATCCCATAATATAGAAATCTTTGAAAGTACGATGTTATTTCCAACTTTGTATTTTAAAAACAGGGAAATAACAAGGTACTTTCACGAATTATTTATCATTTAACCTTACTTTATACATACATACAATTACACACTTATGAACGGATTACATAATAGAAAAAATATCATATTTCTACCCCTACTAATTTTGAAGGTAGTCCAAACACATCAAAAACTTATACCTAGCAAAAAAAAAATTAAAATATAAGCCATCATAAAACAATCATGAATTGTATACATATTTGCATCGTACTTTAATTGTTGACTTAAGAGCATCTTACTTTCATTTCAATGAGAACAAAAAAGTGCATTATAAAAATTGGATCAAAGAAATTATGATGTTATTTCATGCTTTGTATTTAAAATATATTATAAAACAATACTAAAAAAAGGAATCAATGAAAGTTTGTATTTACAAAGCACAATATAGGATCAAATAGTGCATTATATAAATATAATCTAACTTTAATTGTTGCCTTAAAGCTTCATAATTTCATTTTAGTTAAATAAAAAATAGTGCATTATAAAACATGAATAAAAGAA